TTTTCACGCAACTCGAGATATTTGAGGTAGACTCGCCACCATTAATTAGTTTAAATTATAATTGCATGTCTTATGTGAATTTACGTGAATTATATGCTTAAATGCATGAGAAGAGAATATGTCATATGAGATATATGATATTATTATGCTTGCCATAACTTATATGCTTAATTGCACGAGAATGAAGAGAATCTCTTATGAGATAAGATGAAAATGTTATGCATAATTTATGTGCTTTGAATGCACGAGAAAGACTACCCACAGCCTATGATATCACGTTGTATATTGCATAAGTGTGTGTTCAATTATTCTGTAAATTAATTATCGGTGATGAGTCTACTGAGTATTTTTTTCGAAATACTCACCCCGTTATTTTAACCATATTTGCAGACTTCGGAGGCGATCGTGATTTATGGGCAATGTGGCAACGATTTAATGAATTCAGTTATTTACATTTAGAAAGAATTTCGTATTTGAACTTTATTAACGTACTGTACTTGTTATTTCCGTATTTCCAAAACTCGAGATTTGAAGTTTAATCAATTTTTCTTAAGTTATTCAAATGAACTTTATTGTCGTTAGGGTTTTACAATTATAAATGTGATGCTTGAAATTTAGTTATTTTCCACAAAACTTTTAGTTAAATCAGTTACAAAAGAAGATGACGTGGCAATCTGGGTTAACGGAACTCGGGGCGCTACAATCATAGTGTCTTATACGAGGACAGTCATACTTTGGTGATGTTGGATGTTGCTCTGCCATGGTCTTCAATAAACATGATTCGGGTATATCAAGAATTATATGGAGGTTGTGAATGATCAATAGAGGATTCGTCGTTCTTAGATAGTAAGAGATTTTGATCTATATTTCATTCAATAAGTTGATGACGAAATTCTTTGCTAGTGTACTCATAAGTTGAAAATGAGTTTTCGATTTACATTGCCTTAATAGTGAGAAAAATGATATGATCGATAATTGAGATTGACACATATCAATATTTCGTAATTGATCGGATCATATTGACAAAAGGATTATAGTTTCACAGTAAATGAACAGGTCTGATTTTGTCATTCCATGTAACATTTTTCGTCACATGTATTGTATTGTATTGAACATTGCTAGATATCAATATGGGATGATAGATGTAAATTAGTGATAAATTGAAATATCTATTT